AAAAGGGAAAAGGAGTGTTCCACACACAAAGCGAGACACCTCCACCACACGAAGTCTCAGTCCCTGAAAAATAAAAAGAAATGAACAAACAGCCTTAATGAAACAGCCGCGTCACAATATTTCATAACAGATTAAGTGGTGCACTCAGTTCATTAAAATCAAAGCCTCAGCCAGTAGGGCAAGGGCCCGAGTTAGTTTCATATTTTTTTCCTCTAGGCAAAACAGCAGCGAGCAGAATCCAGCTGAACAGCAGGAGAAGGCTCATCTGAAAACTAAAGGGAGCAGATCGTCACTATTAAACTCAACCATTGACAGCAGAATTTACAGAATCTCATATTGCCTACCTGCAAATGTGTGTGTTACAGCACAATCTTATAATAGAGTTGCTGTATAAATTGGATCATGCAGCTGTAACAGAACAGTCTAATAAGCATTTGTTCACAGTAATGGGTAAGCGGTAGCAGGCTAGGCTAACCCTTACCTTCAAGCCATTAATTGGGCACATAGACAGACGGACCGGTCTTATACCCAGGAGGCACAGCAGAGAAGAGGCTAGACTGAACGTTAAGAAAAACAAACCAGTTTGTATTAGCAGCTAAAGGCAAACTACTGCGGCAAAGAAAAACCAAACATTAGCCACGCTTACCGGAGAATGGTTATCAGCAGCGGAAGCAAGCAGACGTCGTGACGCACGCCGTGGACGCCAGACAGGAGTGACGTGCTTTTATACAGAAGCCGCAATTGACCATGTTAAAATGGCAGCACACCATTTATGCTGCTACAATAGGAATAAAAAGAAACATGTTTTGTGTTAGCAGAATTTAATTCTAACTTTAAAACTTATCCAAAACTAATAAAACTTACCTCAAGTTGCCTTTTTGGACATGCATGCATAGATTTGTACAAATTATACTTGAGAGGAGATTTTTACAGCCTCATGTAAAATCAATGATGATCATGATATCGGAACTGGATCGGTATCGGCCGATATTCAGACTTAGGTATCGGGATCGGATCGGAAGTTAAAAAAAGTGGATCGGTGCATCCCTAGTTTAAAGCAGCAGGAAGGCAGTAAGGTAGGATTATGAATCAGATTTAAAAAATACAGCTCATGAGGTACTCCATTAGAGCATGACATCTCTTCCACAACATCGTGTGACAAGTCTTCAGGGTGTTCTTCTTCTAATACGTTTAGTGGTGGCTAGTAAGTAGCTTAAGGGAGCACTACCGCCACCAGGTGGTAAGACCAGTTGGATTCTAGTCCCCGCCTACAGAGCCGGTCCAGAAATGTACATGGAAACACAACGAGACACGAGCCGATCTGAACCAACCTGAATTGAACTGATCTGCACCGTAACAGTGGAAAAGGGGCATAAGTGAACTGACTGAAATTGTTAAAAAGTTAAAGCCTTCTTCATGTCCTCTGGACACCATTCCTAGTCGTCTGTTTAAAGATGTCTTTGACTGTACTGGTCCATGTGTGGTCAAAATGGTAAATGCTTCTCTGATGACTGGATGTTTTCCTACTGATTAAAATAAAACAGGCTGTTGTTCATCCACTCATGAAAAAGAGCAACCTTGATTCAAATGTGCTGTCTAACTTCAGACGTATTTTTAAATTACCGTTTTTGTCTAAAGTCTTGGAAAAATGTCCAACTGCAGACTTACCTTGACCTAAATGACATTGGTGAGAAATTTTCAGTCTGGTTTTAAAATACGGCACAGCCCTGAAACTGCCCTGTTAAAAGTTTTAAAAGGCCTTCTTTTAACTGTTGATGCAGGAAAATCAGCAGTTCTCTTAATTTTAGATTTGTCCGCTGCCTTCGACACTGTGGACCACAGCATCGTTTTGAGCCGTCTGGAGTCACTTGTTGGGATTCATGGTACAGATTTAAACTGGTTTAGATCCTCCCTCTCTCAAATAGGAGTTTTTCTGTAAATCGAGGTCAGTATTCCTCCTCTGTGTCTCCTCTGAAATATGGGGTGCCTCAGGGGTCGATATTAGCACCTGTTCTTTTTGCCTTGAACTTGCTGCCTCTGGATTTTATCTTTAAAAAGCACAAAATCTCTTTTCATTGCTTTGCAGATGATATTCAAATCTATCTACCTGTAACTACAAATGACAGCCAGTCTGCTGTGCATGTGTTACAGGATTGTCTTAGGGACGTACAGGCATGTTTGAGAACAAATTTTCTGACGCTGAATAGGACAAAAACAGAGATTCTGGTGTTCAGTCAATGCACCCCCCTGCTTGGGCAGGACAGTGTGGTTGGTCCTTTGTCCTCCTTCCGTCGTCCATTTATAAAAAACACCTGGGTGTGATGGTTGATCCTCTGTTTAAATTTGATAAGCATGTTAGTGCTGTTATCAAAGCCAGTTTCTTCCAGCTGAGGACCCTTGCAAAGATAAAACCTCATGTTCCTCAGCCTGATCTAGAGAGGGCCATCCACACATTTATTACATCGCATTTGGATTATTGTAATTCTTTGTATTTCGGGTTGGACCAGAGCTCCCTGCAGCGATTGCAGAGCGTCCAAAACGCTGCAGCCCATCTGTTGACGAACACAAGGAGGCGTGAATCTATTACCCCCGTTTTACACTCCCTTCACCGGCTCCCTGTTGCTTTTCAGGTGAAATTTGTAGTTTTATTGATAGATTTTAATTGTTTAAACTCTATGGGCCCGTCTTACCTAAGCGAGCTGCTGCAGCTCTACACTCCATCCAGAGCCCTGAGGTCGGCCGACCAGCTCTTGTTGGCTGTCCCTAAAGTGAGGCTGAAGACTAGAGGAGACAGACCCTTCTCTGTGGCAGAACCCAGACTGGAACAGTCTTCCTCTGTCTGTGAAGCTCTCTCAGTCAGTTTAAGTCCAGACTGAAAACCCATCTGTTCTCCCTGGCCTTCACTCAAATTAGTATCTGATTGACCCAGGTTTTGAGTAATTGCAGCAAATATGCAATAGTTAGTCTTGGTTTTTTATTAGTACTGTTGTTTTATTGGTATTTTATTGCAACTTTTATCACACTTTGATCTTTTAAACAATTTTATTTCGTTTATCATATTTGATCATATTTGATCATATTTTATCTATGAAGTTGTATTCTTGTGAAGCACTTTGGTTAACTATGGTTGTTTTTAAAAGTGCCATATAAGTAAACTTTGAACTGTACCACAGAGCAGACAGCATCCCCACTAACTCGGGAGCCAGGCAGAAGGAGAAATCCCACACAAGACAGGCTCTAGAGCAATGTGGATATCCTAACTGGGCCTTCCTGAAAGCAGAGAAGAAACCCAAACAGGACTCCAGTCAGCCATCAGGTGAAAAGGAGGAACCCAGACCCAGACCAGTGGTCATTCCATATGTTGAGGGAGTATCAGAGAAACTGAGACGTTTATTTTCTAAACACAACGTCCCAGTGGCTTTTAAACCCCAAAATACATTAAAGACTGGTTCATCCCAAAGATCCAGTCCCCCGGCACAAACAGAGTAATGTTGTGTATGTTGTTCAGTGTCAGGAGGGTGATCAGTCTTACATCGGGGAAACTAAACAGCCACTGGCCAAAAGGATGGACCAGCACAGAAGATCAACATCTTCAGGCCAGGACTCTGAGGTCTACACTCATCTCCAGGTCAGAGGTCACTCTTTCAGGGATGAAGATGTGCACATCCTTGACAGAGAGGAACGATGGTTTGAGAGAGGAGTAAAGGAGGCCATCTTTGTGAAAAGAAACCGTCCATCATTAAACAAGGGGTGGAGCCTCCGTGTTCAACTGTCCCCGTCTTAAAGCTCAAGTATACTCCTGCATCCTGTCAGCTGCGCAGAAACTGTGCACACTGTACGCAGAGGGTTGAGACTTCATATTCGAGCGTCCATCCTGAGAGGCTGCAGAGCAGCTCCGCAGACAAGAGGCGTTTATCTTCAGAACAAATTGAGGTTGCCGATTGGCCATTTGCTGACATGCCTACTGGATTGATTGACAGGTTGAACAAATAAATAAATCCAAAACGAGAGCTGGCAGCCCCAGCCGCAGTGGTGTTCTGTGTTTATATGTTGTTAATAAAAAGTTCTAAAACATTTTTTAAAACAGGGAGCGCTGGCCCTGCAGCCCACACATCAGAGATGCCCACCAGGAAATCTCCAGACCCTCCTGCAGCCACACCGGACCTGATTTTAATTCGCTCATAACAAATTCCTTCATTTCTCACCATTTCAGTCACGGCATCAACGGATGAGGAAGAGATCACTGCCTCTTGGCAAAAATACAAAAGAAAAGACCAGATAAGGGATGAAGAAGGGGAAATTTAATACATTGGTGTCACATACAAAACAGTCCGTTGCCGGGCAGTTTTTTGTGCGACACCGCGTACGTGTATTTGTAAAAATTGAGATTTGCGCGGACATGCCCTGCAGAGGTACGTGCGTACGTCCGCGGACGGACGGACGGACGCGGGAGTATACTGGGGGCTTTACAATGCTGTGATTGCTAGTATCACTCAGCCTCCTGTGAATAGTAAACAGCCATCAGTGTGCTAATGATCCATTGTTAGGCTGATGGTCCTTCTTGACCATGTGAGCAGCTGGTTTTGGTTGTCAGCAGCAAAACTGGTTGAGCCACTCTGAGAAGGTGCTATTTAAGAGACTGAGCTGAATACAGCACCTCAGACTGAGGAAGTCTTTTGGATGGATTATGAAACGTTTCTACTTTGTTTTGTTTTGTTTTTTGAATGTCCAGAGGAGCAGACTTAACTTTTTTAGATTTTTCTACCTGGATTATTGAGCATGCATCAGGATATCTCAGACTGGATTGTTCAGACTAACGTAAATCAGTTCCACTCTTGGAAATCTAGACCTAAAAACCAAAAACCAAACATCCCAAAGACCTCAGTAACTACAGGCCGGTGACTCTGACCTCACATTTGATCAAGACCCTCGAGAGGCTGGTCCTCAACAATTTGCGCCACCTGGTGAGGTCTTCATTAGATCCATTGCAGTTTGCCTACCGGCCTGGCATCAGGGTGGATGACGCCATCATCTACCTCAGGCACCAAGCTCTGACCCACCTGGAGAAACCTGGAAGCACCGTGAGGATCATGTTCTTTGATTTCTCCAGTGCTTTCAACACCATCCAGCCAGGACTTCTGCGAGACAAGCTGGAGTTATCAGGAGTGGATCACCACATGCCCCAGTGGATACTGGATTACCTCACTGGACTCCCACAGTATGTGAGGACACAGGGGTGTGTCTCTGACAGGCTGGTCTGCAGGACAGGGGTCCCACAGGGAACTGTGCTGGCACCGTTCCTCTTCACTCTCTACACTGCAGACTTCACCATCAACTCCCTCACTGCCATCTGCAACAGTTCTCTGACTCTGCCACAGTCGGCCTCATCACAGGTGATGAGGAAGACTCACATCAATGTGAAGAAGACAAAGGAGATGATTGTGGACTTCAGAAGGAACAAAAACACCTACACCCCCCTGAACATAAGAGGATCTGCGGTGGAAGTGGTCTCCAGCTACAAGTACTTGGGTGTACACATGAACAACAACCTCAGCTGGAGCAACAACACCACCAGCCTGATGAAGAAAGATCATCAGAGACTCTACTTCCTCAGACGGCTGAGAAGAGCTGGTCTGGAAGCTCAGTCCTCACCTCCTTCTACAGGTGTGCAGTGGAGAGCATCCTGTGCTCGAGCATCAATGTGTGGCATGGAGGCTGCACAGCTGCAGAAAGAAAAGCTTTGCAGAGAGTGGTGAAGGCTGCACAGAAATCTGTCGGAATCAGTCTCCTCACCATCACAGACATCTACACCTCCAGATGCAGGAAGAGGGCCACCTGCATCATGAAGGACCCCACTCACCCAGCACACACACTTTTTGCCCCACTCCCCTCAGGAAGGAGGTTAAGGAGCATTAAGTGTAGAACCAATAGACTGAGGAACAGCTTCTACCCTGAGGCTGTTAGACTCAAGAATCTCTAACTAGAATAATCACTGTGAAAAACCATATCATGTTGCTGCTGATCTGTTTCATGTTGCTGCTGATCTGTTTCAATGTTGATGTGTTCATGCGTGCACATCTGCTCACACAGACTCATGTTCATGTTTGTGCTGATGTTCAATGTTTTATGTTATGAGTGCTTAGTGTATATTTAGTTGATGTTTTTCTTAGTTCATATCTTAGATGTTATTACTGTTTTTCTTATACATTTTATTGTTGGATGTAACTGGGACCCCGTGTACATAATTTCGTTCCACCACATGTACCATATGAGGTGCGAATGACAATAAAGAAACTCTGACTCTGACTCTGACTCTGACTCAGAGTACAGACAGCGGACTCAAGACTTTGTGGACTGGTGCCAGCAGAACCACCTCCTGATCAACGCTGCTAAAATGAAGGAGCTGGTGGTGGATTTCTGCAGGCACAGGTCCACCTCACTGACCCCGGTGAACATCCAGGGAGTGGAAATCGAGATTGTGGACTCTTACAAGTACCTGGGTGTTCACCTGAACAATAAACTGGACTGGTCTCACAACACTGATGCACTTTACAGGAAGGGTCAAAGCAGACTCTACCTGCTGAGGAGACTGAGGTGTTTTGGAGTGCAGGGGGTGCTCCTGAAGACCTTCTTTGACTCGGTAGTGGCATCAGCCATCTTCTATGGTGTTGTGTGTTGGAGCAGCAGCTTATCATCAGCTGAGAAGCAGCAGCTAGATAAGATCATCAAGAAGACCAGCTCTGTGCTTGGACGCCCCATCGACCCAGTGCAGGTGGTGGGAGACAGAAGGACTCCAGCTAAAATAACATCATTGCTGGACAACGTGGGCAGCACGGTGGCGCAACTGGTAGAGCTGCTGCCTCTCAGCGAGCAGGTCCCTGGTTCAAACCCCGGTCCAGGGGCCTTTCTGGGTGGAGTTTGCATGTTCTCTCCGTGCATGCATGGGTTTTCTCCAGGTGCTCCAGTTTCCTCCCACAGACTAAAAACATGCATGTTAGTCTGATTGGTAACTCTAAATTGTCCCTAGGTGTGAGTGAGTGAGTGAATGGTTGTTTGTCTCGTTTGTCTCTATGTGTCCCTGTGATGGACTGGAGACCCGTCCAGGGTGTACCCCGCCCGCCTTTCGCACAGTGATTGCTGGACATGGGCACCAGTGACCCCCGTGACCCAAAATGGAATAAGCGGGTAAAGATAATGGATGGATGGATGGGCTGGACAACGTCTCCCACCCCATGCATGAAGCTGCTGCTGAACTGGAGAGCTCGTTCAGTGACAGGTTCCTGCTCCTAAATGCACAAAGGAGCATCACCGCAGGTCCTTCCTCCCAGCAGGTCCTTCCTCCAGCAGCTGTTAGACTCTACAACCATCACTGCTCCCAACAAACTCTACAAGGATTAAATACATGCTGACCTCTGCTGAAACACACACTCTGCCTGTAATACTGTGCTGTCAATAGTCTGCCATTCTCAATGCTCCTATACATATTGAACATTATTATTGATATTGTTTATTTCTTGTATATTGTATTGTTCATTAACATTTAGGAACTTTGGTGTGAAATCTTTTTATCTTTTTATCTGTTGCTGCTGTTACATATGAATTTCCCATCTGTGGGACAATAAAGGCTGCTTCTATTCTATTCTATTCTATTCTATTCTATTCTATTCTATTCTATTCTATTCTATTCTATTCTAAAACACGTCTGAAACACCAAGAATGAAGTACGTTCAATGCTGGAACTGCTGCTGCTACCACGTTAAACATTATATGATAAAATTTAAGAGACATAAATATTGATTGCTGTTTTTGTGGTGACCTTCCAGAAACTATAATAACAATAGACAGTTATAAAAACACATACAGTTTTTTTTGTTTTTGTTTTTTTTACAAATAAGATGGGAAAAAGAGTAACAAAAACAGCTAGAATATAAGGTGAATGTAGAAAACTAAAAACAGGAACATGTCTGCATTGGTCCTTGTCAGGAGTCCAACAGATTTTTAAAGCCACTTAGAGAGGTCAAAGGTCGAGAGCTTCAGGTCTTTTTGTGAGATTGTTTAAAAATCACACCCCTGGTTCTTTGTTCATGTGTTGTGTTCTTCTGTATACTCCATTCATTTGTTTGTTGTATACTTGTCTTTTGCTTTAATTAAGATTAAAAACAGGAAAAAGAAAGAACTGCTTCTGCTGTTTGGAACTATTTGCGGCAGCAGGACATACGTCACTTCCGCATTCCATTCTTCGTCTATGGGAGTGTCGCAAGTCGCGCGCTCTACGGCTCTGGGTCTGCGCGCGGACTTTAATTCGAGAAGCATTTCGCGCGTAAATCATCCTGTTACCCGCTCGCGCACGAACAACAACAGGTAGATATGGCGACCCCACCGAAGAGGCCCCGCGGAGCTTCGGACATGATTCCCCGCCGACACAAGAAGATCTCCATCGAAGGAAACATCGGTAAGTTCTGCCGGAGCTCTGCTCGGTTCGGAGCCGGGCATCAGGCCCTCTAGGCGGGTTAGTCTCATTCAACAGAACAGTAAAGTGCAGCTGGTCAGCATGGAGCTACTTTTAAAAGGACCAAGTCCAAGTGATCTACCTATTTATAAACATATGAACTATGCTTTGTATGTTTTTAGTATTTTACCATGTTGATTTATTGTTTTATAACACTACTTTTATTTTAATTGCATTTTACTGTAGTTTATTGTCGGTAGTTTGAATGTTGTCTGTTCAGAACAGGTCTCTCTTGTAAATGAGTCCTCGTGACTCAGAGACTAACCTGGATAAGAAAAGCTTGAATGAATACCATTCCTCTTTATTTATAGAGCACTTAAAACAGCAACAAGGCCAACCAAAGAGCTGTACAGACAGAACAACAGGTAACACACACAGCAAAATACAAAATGAGGTCAATCAGAATATAGACATAAAAACGATGCAGATAATGACGACTAACCAGTGTGGAGCATACAGGATCAAACACAGATCATCTGGTGTTGAAAGATACTGAATAGTAGTGAGTTTTTAAACGGGACTTGAAAACAGAGAGGGAGGGGGCCTGTCTGACAAGCAGAGGTAACTCGTTCCAAAGTCTTGGTCCTGCTACAGAGAAGGCCCTGTCACCTCTGCGCTTAAGACGAGTTCCTGGAACTGTGAGGAGCAACTGGTCCGCTGACCTCAGGGAATGTGGTGGGACATACGGTTGAATGAACAAGTCCCAGCTCGCTGTGGACGCAGCATAAATGACGAAACCCAAAAGTGGGTTTAGAAAAAAAGTGACAGTTTATTTTTACTGTCCACGTACAAAATAATAAATAAAACCCATCAATAACTTCTGTTCTTCACACAAAGGAACAGAAAACAACAAAAATAACTTCATGTTTGAAAAAGAACCTGAGAATTAGAACTAAAGTGAGAACTCAGCGCTGACAGCAGCTGATTTGACTCTAACTAGCTATGTTTACATGCGCAGAATCCTTTGACGGATTGAAATGTGTTCTGTTTGAATAATTCAGATGTGTTGTTTACATGGGCACAATCTGTTCATGACGAGCGTTTACCTGCAGCGGGCTTTGTTCTGAACAGCAGTACTGACGTGCACAGAGTGGTAAACTCTCCTTAAAAAAACCACCGAAGAAGAGGTTCTACTTCCGGGTGAACGTAAACAAACCTGAGCACCCAAAATGGACCCGTGACAGGTTTTAATGATGGTGGAGACGTTGCTGCACGCCCTGACTGAGCTACAGGTGATACAGATCATTTTGAGCTCTTTCAAAGTTTCTAGTAGAAATGTTGTGTCGCTCACCGACCAGTTTTACTTCCACGACATGCTAATATTATTAGCGTTAGCCAGGCGGAAATGGCAAAGTCGCACATGCGCAGTCAGATCAGTTTTTCACCATCAGATAAAAACGAACAGATCAAGTGTTCACATGCGCACCGATCGGGTTTCGGATCGGCGTAAACCACCCATTTCGTTCTGATCACAAATTATATCGGATCGCGACGAATACACAAAAAATAACCGAACAGAGTGTTTACATGACACACTTTTATTCTGACCGGCCATTTGATCCGCTTACTTATGTCCATGTAAACATACCCAACAAGTAACTCTTTTACCATCTCTCCGTCTTGAAAAGACTTCTTGTGCTTAACAATTATTAAAGTGACTGACCTGGACTGATGCTTCGCTGCTGATCAGCTGTAAGAAAAATGACTGCTGTCCACATAACTGGGATTTTAGTTCCTTCGGTTTTCTTTCTCAGCTTGTTTTTCTGAAGGAAGTCAGTGCCGTAGTTTTGATGAATATAGTCTGAAAATGCTGCTCCGGTGAAACGCACTTTGAATATGAC